TCAGTAGTAAGTTAGAGACTGTACTTTGCAACATTTGGAAACCTGACCATAGTAAAGAAATATTCTGGGAAATCCAGCCTTTATGTATCATACCAATTGATTCCACATAAGCAGTAGGCACACTGATTCTTTTTTTTTTTTTTTCTTATTCTAAACTTCATCCTTAATGCATCATTACTTCAGAAATACTTAACTAACATTTGTTACACTTAGCTCTATAGCAAAATAGAAAGCACATAACAAAGGGATAAGTGACTTGGGAGCAAGCATTAACCTACATGCACCACTCAACATGCAAGTACTATAGTTAAAATGAAAAGCTCATTCTAAAGACAAATAAAATAATCCACAAGTGATTTGACGCAAATAATCTTACAGGATTAGGCAGATACATTTCAGTGCCAGCTCGATATGTATGAATTTCATCAGCATAATGTTGATAAGGACCATTAGAATCTGGCTTTAGTGGTGACATGGGAATGAAGGGAGAATTATAAGTCATAAGCGTAGTGAAGAGGTTCCTGTTCCTAGGTCTTTCAGGACGATCCCCAGGAAAATATCCCTGTAAGTAGACAGGTTGTCCAAAAAAAGACGGATAAAGTGAGGGCCACTGTTGTTGAGCATTCTGGCAAAAACGCCCATACTGTAAATTCTGCCAATGGTTGGCAAAATCACTATTTAGCATGTCAGTCTTGAAATTGCCAAAGCCCTCCGTAGTTGCAACATTCTGAATAGTTGTACCAGTATTAAGAGCTTCTGGATGATCAAGATTTTTGACTGAATTCAAATGATCCAGTAGTCCATTTTGCTGATTCTTAAACTCACCTCCCCTTTCAGAATGATTACTTGAAGCTTCTATCTCAGTTAGATTGTATGCAGGAAGCATGGTTACAAAAGTGACTGGTAGCCCAGCGGGACAAAATGCAAATGGTAAAATCCCATGGTTACCAACAGTTCTCTGCCATGATTCAGAACCTACAAGCACTGGAGCAACTGGGAAAATTGAATTTGATCCCCTCATTAGTGCTGATTTATAAACATGTGTAGGGTGAGTCTGAAAATGTGGAGTAGTAGCTTCAGAAATTAACCTTTCATCCACATCAGTATCCACTGTTGAAAGTGGAATCCAATCTCTTATGTGGTCATCTGCATGAGAAGAGCCAATATCAGCTGATTCAAACCCATTTTGGGAACCATTATTACCTAATCCATATAAAACAGAAGGATCTGAAGTAACCAGTTTCTTTTGCCATTTACCTGCTACTGGCTTGGACATTCCCAAAGGTGATCCATCCCAGTAATTTTCAGAAGACAATTCGTTTCTTGAGGAAGTAGACTCTGAGGTGGATGTGCTCCTTGACTTGGATGTAGAATATAAGTCATTTTCTCCAATACTTTGAAACTGTGACTGTTCGCCATAATATTCCCCAGTG